GTTCTCCAATTCGTTCACTTCTCGCAAAATTTGGATCCGGCAGGTCGGACCAAATTGTAGGTTTCTTGTTAAAGAATTCCTATCTCTCACTCAACAACTCTCGGAAACAGGTGGGTGCGGGGTGTGGGGGTTAAAGTAGGGGGGGAATTGGGGTGGTGGGGGGGGGGTTGTAGGGGTGTTGGGTGGGGGGTGGGGGGGGGGGGGGGGGGGGGGTCTGGGGGGGGGTGGTTTTTTTGTCGGTGGTGGGGGGGTTGGGGGGGGTGGGTGTGGGGGTGGTGTGGGGGGGGGGGGTGGGGGGTCTGGGGGGGGGGTGGTGGGGGTGTAAAGAGTGGGTTGGGTTGGGGTGGGGTTGTTGGGTACAGTAACTGTCAGACAGTTAGGCCAGCTAATGCAACTAACTACTCACATACTCTTCTTTCTCCTAACATACACCCTCATCATCCTATCATTACCCCCCCCTCCATCCATAACCTTGTCCTCAAGGTTAAATTCTGGAAACTGTTCCTGGATTGTGGTTTGATCTTCCCAAGTTGCTCCTTCTTTTCCCCCTGTCTGCCATTCTACCAGAACTTGGTGACATACTTCATCTTCTTTTTGAATTTGCCTACGCTCCAAAATTCTTGCTGGCCAAAAAGCAGGACCGTCAGCTTGCAACTCCTCTGGCAACATCTTTTCAATCCCATGGTCCCCCACCGCTTTCTTTAACTGCGCCACATGAAACACTGAATGAATCCTGGCAGATTCAGGTAACTCCAATCGAAAAGCTACACTCCCCACCTGCTGTAACACCTTGTAGGGCCCAAAATAACGTGCCGAGAGTTTTGGGTGTAGTCTAGTTGGCATTGAAGATTGACGGTGTGGTCTAATCTTCAAGTACACCCAATCTCCTACTTTTATATCTATCTCCCTCCTCTTCTTATCTGCTTGCTGCTTCATTAATTCCTGAGCCCGATTCAAGTGATACTTTAGCTGTTTGAGGGCTTCATCTCTTGTCATCAAATCCTGCGCCACTGCCTCCACTGGTGTTTCCCCCGGAATGAACCGGCTAAATGAGGGAGGTGCTCTCCCATATACAACTTCAAACGGCGTGCATCTTGCAGCTCCTTGATAGCTCGTGTTATACCAAAACTCAGCCCAAGGAAGCATAGCATACCAGCTCTTTGGTTGTTCAGAGCAAAAGCACCGCAAATATCCTTCAACAATGCGGTTAACCACCTCAGTTTGCCCATCCGTCTCTGGATGATACGCCGTGCTCATTTTGAGCTGTGTTCCCTGCATCTTGAATAATTCCTTCCAGAAAATACTCAGAAATAAGGGATCTCTATCACTCACCATAGAAACCGGAATCCCATGTAGCCTGATGATCTCTTTGGTGAACACATCAGCTACGGTTTTAGCAGAATATGGGTGTTTCAATGCTATAAAATGCGCGTATTTACTCAACCTGTCCACCACTACCATAATGGCATCATACCCCTGGGATTTAGGTAATCTTACTATGAAGTCCAAGCTGATTTCCTCCCAAACAGCTTGCGGAATGGGTAGGGGTTGCAGTAGCCCTTGAGGATTTGCTGCCAAGTACTTATGCTGCTGGCATACTGCACAACTCGCCACAAATTCAGTGATTGTCTTCTTCATCCCCACCCAATACAAAGATTGGGCTATCCTCCTATATGTACGATAGACTCCCGAGTGCCCCCCAGTTTTGGTTACATGGAATTCATCAAGTAACTTTGGTATCCAAACTGAACTGGACGATATCACCATCCGGCCTTTGTAATGCAATCTTTCATTTTCTAAAGTGTAAGCTCCATGAGAGTTTGAATCCTGTTTCAGATCAGCAATCACTTTCTGCAATGTCACGTCCTCCTCTACCTCTCGCAGGATGTCGTTAAAATCCTGCCAAAAGGGTCTGGAAATGAGCTGTAATTCTCTTTCTTCCCTCTCTCCTTCATCTCTCCTCGAGAGGGCATCAGCAGCCTTATTGGTACTTCCCTTTTTATATACGATCTCAAAGTCATATCCCATTAATTTTGCCAACCAGTTTTGCTGACTTTGAGTGGTAATTCTCTGTTCCATCAAGTATTTCAAACTGCGCTGGTCAGTGTGCACGGTAAATTTCCTCCCCACCAAGTAAGGTCTCCAGTGCTGAATGGCTAAAACGAGAGCCATTAATTCTTTCTCATAAATTGACTTACTTAGAGAAGCCGTAGACAAAGCCTTGCTAAAAAAAGCTATCGGTCTCTTATTCTGGGTCAACACAGCTCCCACCCCACCTCCAGAGGCATCACACTCGATGTGAAACTCTTGTTCGAAGTTTGGCAAAGCTAACACGGGAGCTGAGGTTATCGCAGCCTTCAACGTATCCATCGCTTGTTTTGCTTGCTCGGACCAGTCAAACTTACCCTTCTTCAATAGCTCCGTCAACGGTCTGGCCAATTTTCCATATCCCGCCACGAATCTTCTATAGTAACCCGTTAACCCCAAGAAACCCCTTAATGCCTTCAAGCTCCTCGGCTCTCCCCATTCCACCACGGCTTTCGTCTTATCACCATCCATCTCCACCCCCTGTTCTGAGATTTGATGGCCTAAATATTGGATCCTCCTTCTTCCAAACTCACATTTCTTTTGGTTGGCCACCCATCCATTCTCCTCTAGCACCCGTAGCACTCCGTCTAAATGCAGCAAGTGGTCTTCCCATGTGGAACTGTAAACAAGGATATCATCAAAAAAAACTAACACCCATTTCCTAAGATACTTCCGCAATAGCTCATTCATCGTACTCTGGAAAGTAGCAGGGGCATTGGTGAGCCCAAATGGCATAACAAGGAACTCGAAATGGCCGAGGTGAGTGCGGAAAGCAGTCTTGGGCACATCCCCTTCCTCCATTCTAATCTGGTGATATCCAGATTTTAAATCAATTTTCGAAAAGTAACGTGCACCGGTCAGCTCATCTAGCAATTCTTCTATCACGGGGATAGGAAACTTATCGGGGACAGTTGCTTTATTTAGGGCCCGGTAATCTACACAGAATCTCCAACTCCCATCCTTCTTCTTCACCAAGATGACTGGACTAGAGAATGGGCTCGTGCTCGGACGAATGATGCCTGCCTTCAACATATCTTCCACCTGCTTCTCAATCTCCCCCTTCATGAGGTGAGGGTAGCGATATGGCCTCACATTTATGGGGTCTACTCCCTCTTTTAGTTGGATGCGGTGTTCTCTGTTTCGGTTTGGAGGCAGCCCCTGAAATTCACGGAAAACGGAATAGTGCGCCTGTAGCACCGCCTGTAATTGTTTTTTCTGCTCTTCCGTCACATCACTATCCCACTCACTGCAGTTTTCCTCCTCCACTTTGCACAGATTCCAAACCACAGCCCCTGAGTCAGCTTCCACTAGTTTAAACAAGCTCTTAGCATTCACCACCTGTCTCGATAATGATGGATCGCCCCTTATACGTATCTTCTTGTCCCCCACTTTATAAACCATAGTCATTTTTCCCCAATTGGTGCTTACTTCTCCTAGTTTGGCCAGCCATGCAACTCCCAAAATTACATCTACACCCCCCAGCTCAAAGACGTAAAAATCTTCCTCCACATCGACTTCCTCCAGCTTCACCGTCACCTTCTCACACCGGCCCCGCGTCATTCTCCGATGGCCATCACCCAAACTCACGCAGTACGCCGGGGTGTCCGTCACCTTCAATGCTAATTCCTCCGTCAGCTTCCGGCCTATGTAGTTGTGACTGGCGCCGCTGTCTATCAGCACCACCACCCTCCTTTCTCCGATCATCCCCGTCAATTTTAGCGTTCTGGCCGACGTTAGCCCTTCTGCAGAACAGGCCGATAACTCCAAGAGCTTCTCTCCTTGGGTTTCGGGTTCTTCTCCCACTTCCTCCTCCTCGTCTTCCGCTAACAATAATACCCTCAAACTCTTATCATCACAACGATGGCCGGGCGCGAATGGGCCACCGCACCGGAAGCAACGACCCTCCTTGCTTCTCTTGAGAAACTCCGGATATGGTAGGTTTCTCACCATTCTTCCACGGTTATCGTTCCCACCCGCAATATTCGGTCTCGTATTCGCGTTCGCGATACCCCCATCTCTTCTCGCATTTCCCGCCGTCTCCACTCGGCCTCCTTGGTTTGCCGGATTACGAATCGGGTCTGTTCGTATCACTCCTCCCGATGATCGCGCCCCTACAGGGTTCATTCTGAACCCACTCGCAAAACCCCCTTGCGCTCTCACCATCGCATCCTCCACGTCCCGAGCGACCCTCATTGCCTCCATTAAATCCCGCGGGTTCTGGATTCGAACCTGCCCCTTTATGTCCTCCCGCAGTCCGGCGAGGAAATATCCGAGTACTTGCTCCTCCGGAATGCCCCTCGTCTGTCCAGTCAATACCTCAAAGGTGCGCACAAATTCCTCCACCGTGCCCTCCTGTCTCAACGACGCCAACCTTTCGAACACCGTTCCTCTGAATCCCCCACCGAACCGGTTGATCATCGCGGCCTTCAAACCGTCCCAGGAGCGATTTCTTGCTTTCTGTCTCCAGAACGTAAACCAGTACGCTGCGCTTCCCTCCATACTCACATACGCGATTTCCACTTTGTCTTCATCGCTCATCACCTTCTGAATGTCGAAAAACCTTTCCGCTCTGTTGAGCCAACTCAAAGGCTCGTCTCCATCGAATGTCGGCAATTCAATCCTTTTCCGCCACGGCTTTTGTTCCTCGCCTCTGTTTCCATTCCCTCCATTCTCATTTTCCCCCACGACTCGGTGTCTGTTGTCGTTCACCGAACTGGCATCAGAACTCCCCTCCGGTGGATTAACGCTCGTACCCAAGACCCTCATAATTTGCTGCAAGTCTCGTCGTACAGCCGCTGACTCAGCCTTCATTCCCTCCATCGTGATCTCAATTGCCTCCAGTCTCGCATCGGTATGGTTCTCCATCTTCGTTCACTTCTCGCAAAATTTGGAATCCGGCAGGTCGGACCAAAATGATAGGTTTCTTGTTAAAGAATTCCTATCTCTCACTCAACAACTCTCGGAAACAGTACAGAAAGTCTGTATAACCTCTGATATTATTGACTTTCAAGAAAGAATGCAAGAATAGGAAGAACAAAGGAAGCTTAACCTTCCCCAACAAGGATAACCAAATCCTATTTTAGAAACTACTAACTGTCCAATCCCCCTCCCCTTATTCCCCTTAACTATTTATACACAATAAGTGTTCCCCTTTTCTAACTGTCAGACAGTTAGGCCAGCTAATGCAACTAACTACTCACATACTCTTCTTTCTCCTAACATACACCCTCATCATCCTATCACCTTACAAATTGATTTTATGGGATTGAGTTAGGCTTAAAGTCCACTTCTTAACAACATTAAAATACCCACTTCAATAGTTCTAGATGAGTGGTCTTCAATTTCTATCTTTGCTTCAAGACCTTTGCTTCAAGACCTTACATATTGAATTTATCAAATCACTTTGACAATTTTTCCTAGATCAACAAAAAAGAAATAACCTGTCAAATTCTACTGTCCTATCTATTTACTAGGTCAAAAGGCAAGAACTAAATTATTGATTTTCTTTTTCTAAGTAATAGCTAGTTCATTCTGAAAGAGACAATAATGGTTCTCACAATCCCGGGGATTTTGTTGAAGTCATGGTGCTCACTATGTATTTTAGGAAGTTTTTTATTCTATCCTTGCTATAATTTTATTCTTTATTACAAGTGTATCTTGCCACCAATACTAGGATCATGTATTTAAAACATTCCCATAATTACATGGATTTGTTTCTTTAGAATTATGTCTCTATATTTCATTAATTAACCAGCATGCTCATGTATCTGTAGATCCAATGGCCTCATCATTGAAATATAGAAGAAATATATTATTCTTTCTAAATTTGAGAGTTTTATTCACTATATACACTTAGCTTGTGCACTATATTTCATGTTTTCCACATTGTTTTTTGCTCTATCAGGCCAGTGGTAAACTACTTATTCTGGACCAACTTCTTCAGAAGTTACATTATTCTGGACACCGTGTTCTTCTTTTTGCTCAGATGACCCATACACTTGACATTTTGCAAGTGAGATTTTTCTACCTGGATTAAGTGCTTTGTCATAGTTACGGGACTATATTGTTGAAATATCTTTTTATTCTCATATAGGATTTTCTGGAGTTGCGAAAGTATTCTTATGAGCGTCTTGATGGATCAATTAGGGCTGAGGAGCGCTTTGCTGCTATAAGAAGTTTCAGTAGCTCATCAACTACTTCAGGCTTGACTTCTGAAGCTGAACAAAATGGAGCGTTTGTGTTTATGATCTCAACACGAGCAGGGGGAGTTGGTTTGAATCTTGTGGCTGCTGATACTGTGAGTTCTGACAAGCTTTCAACGTACACTGAATTGGAGCCTGATTACTGATTTATTTTCTTCTATTTTAAGTATATTCATAACTTTTTATCATCTATTTTAAGAAATATTGAGTATATTCATAAGTTTTTATCTTCTATTTATTTTGGTTTTTAACATGATGGACCTTTTTAAAACCTTGCAAATAAGCTCTTCCAACCAGACTTACTGTCTTGTTATTTTCTTAAACATGAATTTCATGTTTGTCATCTTAAAGGTGAAAATATGGTTGTGACATGCACTAGCATGTTTGGAAACCATCCCAGAATTATGGGAGAATGAAAAATAACCCTTTTAAGTGAACCATAAAATCCATCGAAATAAGACTCCCGTTTCTTTAACTGGATGGTTTAAGCATTGTAAGTTTAAGTTATCACCTGCAAGTTTAAAACATACTTGACAATTTACTCTTGCATGTCATTCTCTAGGTTATATTCTATGAGCAAGATTGGAATCCTCAGGTGGACAAGCAAGCTTTACAGAGAGCACATAGAATTGGCCAGATGAACCATGTGTTGTGTATATACCTTGTTACAGAGAAGACAGTGGAGGAAGTATGTTTATGTTTGTTATAAATTTTTATTCTACGATAATGGAGGTGTTACATATACTCTAGGAATTCATGTCTGTAGGTAATTATGAGGAGGGCAGAAAGAAAATTGCTTCTGAGCATCAATGTTACTGGTGATAACATTCTCAAACATGATGATGAAGAAACATCTGAAGTTGGAACTGGAGATTTGAAATCCATCATATTTGGTTTACATATGTTAGATCCCACTGAGATTACTGACGGAAATCATAGGGATATCAACTTATCAGAAATTAGTGTTATGGCTGACAAGGTGCTTGCCTTGCGTGACAAACAAATACACGATATTGATGATAGGAAATTTGAGGTCAATCCAAGAAACATTTTACAAGGTGATGATGTTAAGGAAGGAGGTACTACTTTTTCTCACGATCTTGGTCTTGACGAGGCTTCATATCTTTCTTGGGTTAACAAGTTTGAGGAAGTGTCTAAGTCAAGTTGCAACTCAATGATGGACTGGAGGAGCAAAAGAAACTCAGAAGAGGAAAATAATCTAAAACTTGAGTCTGCAATGAAGAAGGCAGAGGAAAAGAAGCTATCCAGGTGGAAAGCTCTTGGATATCAATCATTGAATGTAAAATATCCTCTCACCCAAACGGACAATGACATTACATCAGCTACTGGGTCCGTTCATTTTGTGTATGGAGATTGTACAGCTCCATCAAATGTTTGTTCATCTGAACCAGCTATGATTTTCAGGTCAACTTTCTTTTTTTTTTCTTCACTGCAGCTTTTTGTTGTGATGTCCCAGCTTTCTGTCTGAGCTTTCTTCGGTTTTGGTAGCATTCTCTGTTGCATGATAAACATTTTATAGTAGATTCTTTTCTTTTTTGATTTTCCTGATTGTCCCCAATCCCGAGGAGATTTTGGAAGAATTTTGCAGTTTTCACTATTATTAAGCAGTATTGTGTTCAGTACTTTAGGATAGGATAGGCCCTTTTTTCTCTGTATAGATTTTCTTTTTTTTATTACCTTATATTAGCACAGATCTACTTCCTGTAATGTAGCTTTATTGTTGGCATTTATTTACTGGCATAAGTCTATAATGTAAATATTGAGAAAGAATAGAAGAGGACATCGGAGAATCTCTAATTTAGAAAGAATAATATATTTCTTAAACATTTCAAACGATGAGGTCATTGAACCTATAAATACATGAGCCAGGTGGTTATTTTAGGAAATATAGAATATTAATTATAAGGAAACAAGTCCATGCAATGCAATTGTTTTTAAACGCATAATCCTAGTATTAATAGCAAGATATACCTGTAATAAGGAACTAAATTATAGCAAAGATAAAATAAAAAACTTCCTATAATACATAATGAGCAACATAGTTTTGATAGAGATGATAGGTGCAAAAGAGACTATACAATGTTGTAGGTTGAAATGTCTAATCGTAGGTGTAAAATGATGTGTCAAGATCCTATAATGACTAATACCATAGATATGGCCATGGTAAATATTGGAGATCCCACATCGATTAAATATATAGCCAACTTATGGGTTGTGGGTGTAAATATCACTTTGCAATTAACACTAAAATGTAGATAGATTAGAACAAACCTAGGTTCTTTTCATAGAATCATTAGTCATTTACAATTTAAAGAACACATTTAGGTGTAAGAATTGCAACATAAACGTAGGGGATTTTTACTTTGAGTTCAACATTAGTCTATTTATAAGCTTTGATTAATGATAGAATGGGCCTTAATAAGTGTTAGAACAAAATGTGTCATCATTGAATTAAGCTTAAAACTCACTTTCTATTACATTATCAAAGTCTATCCTGGTGATGTTTGTTGGACTTAATAAGTGACCTACTATCAACTGCTATTGGACCTCCCATCTAATCCTATGTTTGAGATGTATTGTATTTGATGTAAGAGAGTGTGTTTGAGATCACACATAAACTGCAAATATGACTAAGTTATATTATGAGTGGTCAAACCTCTTTGCAAGTTGATTTTGTAGGCTTGTGTAGAATTAAATCCACTTTCTTATAGTAAATAGAAGTCAAGTACACAATAAAGGTCCCAACATAGAGAAGAACTTTGCACTCATGTATATTACTTTCTGATGCAAATTGTAAAGGGTGATTACATCAATCTTGTAGTCATAATATGTTACGGTATAAGGTAGGGGGTAATAATAAGGTTTGGAAAGTATATGAGAAGGAAAAGGAAGGTGATAGGTTCCTAAATTAGGAACCTAATCAAGAACTCTCTTTCTCACCAAAAGACACAAGAAAGATAGGGAAAACTGAATATTATTCACAGTAGTGTATCTGTACAGAAAGAATCTAGAGGCTTAACCCTCTTCACAGGTCAGAACCTGTCAACAAACAACTCAACATACATGCCTTTTACCAACTAACAGGCCTCTGTTTATACTCCCTCTCCCGCCCACTGCTAACTGTCATAGGCAGTTAGGCTATTACAGCTAATTACCCTTCTTCCTTCTCTCATAGACTAACCATTTCTTCTTATTCCTATCAGAAGGTAGGAGGGAAGTGAGGCCGAACGGTATTGACCGTAAAAGCCGAACGGAAGCCGAACAATGGAAGGCGTGGAGAGGTCTAGCTGAACGGTGGAAGGTGGTGAAGAGCGGGAGCCGAACGGTAGGAGGCAGGGGGAAGCAAGCCGAACGGAAGAAGGCGAGGAGCGAGCAGGCCGAACGGTGGGAAGCAGCGAAGGACCTGAGCCGAGCGGTTGAAGAGCTACCATCCTAACTGTCACATTGGTTAGGATGGGCGGGAACTATTTACAATAAAGGGAGCTATATTTGAGGAGAATATTCAGTATAAGATAATTAGAGTAAATAAATATATATTCCAGGGAAATATATAATATAAGATATTTATAATTAATGATATATGGTAGGGAAATATACGGGAGAATATTTACATTAAATATAGGGATATTTATATTAAATATAGATATATTCTAGGGAGATATTTAGTATGAGATGAGCGGGAAATAATTAGTATAAATAAAGCTAGAGTCTAGGGTTAAGGGTATCTTTTTGATTATTGAGGCTTGATGACAGGCGGTTATGCGTTCTGTGAGGGAGGTTATGCTCCTAAGTAATTGAAGGAGGTTATGCTCCCAATTATTGTTTACTTTTGTTTATTCAGATATTACCATCAATAAAAGAGATTCATTCGTCCATTATCATTCGTTCATTGTCTTTTCTACCTATTGTGGTCGTGTTTAATTAAGTCTCCAACTCGGATACGTAACAAATAGGCTGCTCATTAAATAAGCTCTTGTATATATATCCAATGCATGTAAGGAGACAAATAATAAAATATATATTCTCTCTCCTAAATTTGAGATGGTATCAGAGCTCCCGATCCTTGGGAGCCTATGACCGTATATTTTCACTGCAGCCTTTATTGCTGCCCAACCCTAGAATTCCATCACAGCCTTCATTGCTGCCCAACCCTAGAGTTCCATCACAGTCTTTGTTTGTGTACCTTAATTGCACATTTTTGTAATGGCTGAAATGGAAAATGTAGACAAATTCTAGAATAATGGAGAATTGCAGAATTTTCATTCAGCTTATCGATTGAATGGAAAAAATTATCTTAAATGATCTCAACTCAATAAGACCATTCTAAAAGGGAAAGGAAATGTTAGCCATCTCACTGACGATGCTCCTACGGAAGAAGATGCCAAATTCAAGTCATGGGATGAAGAAGACTCCATGATCATGGCATGGCTATGGAACTCAATGGTTCCGGAAATAAGCGATACATCCATGTTCCTCACTTCTACAAAGGGCATATGGATTGCAATAGAGCAAATCTACTCTAAGGCAAAGGATGCTGCCTAGATTTATGAGGTGAAAGTAAAAACAATGGCAGCCAAACAGGACACTAAATCTGTCACAAAGTATGCTAATCAACTCAAATCTTTATGGATGGAATTAGATCATTACAGGGTCATAAAGGCCAAGTGTTCTGAGGATTCAACAATTCTAAGAGAATACATTGAACAAAATCGAGTGTATGATTTCTTGGTAGGCCTAAACCAAGAATATGATCAAGTCAAAATCCAAATATTAGGCAAGGAGAAGGTTCCTGGACCTAATGAAGTAATGACAATTATTCGGAGTGAAGAAAGCAGAAGGAGTCTAATACTAGAGACCCCAATTGCGGATAATTCAGCTATGATTGTTGATGGAGAAACAACCATGGTTGCAGAACAAAAGAAGTAGGCCCTTTTCCAAGAATAGAGAAGAAAAATGAAGGAGTTTGGTGCACCTATTGCAACAAGCCACATCACACAAGGGACAAATGCTGGAAGTTACATGGAAAACCTCAAAGCAAAGATTGGGGATACAAAGGAGGCCTTCCAAGGTGAGGGGTGCAAGCTCATGTTGCTGCTGGTCCTGAAAGTCAAGAAGAAGGATCTGTACAACTCAACCATGAGGAGTTAGAAAGAGTAAGGTCCTTTCTTAGTAAATTGGAAAAACCCACAGGTACGTGTTCATTGACATACTCTGGTAAGTTCCCATTTTCTTGTGGATTTAATGTCTCAAATACCCCATTTACCCACTATTGGATACTAGACTCTGGAGCCACAGACCATATGATACCATTCCCTAAACACTTCTCCACATGTTCCCCATGTTCCCCATGTCCCAACAGTAAGAAAATTTCTACTGCTGATGGAACCCTTATCACTGCAGCTGGACAAGGAGATGTCCAAATAACCCCAAACATGATACTAAAAAATGTTCTTCATGTCCCTAAGTTATCCACAAGTCTGATATCTATACTAAAACTTACCAAGGACCTCTTATGTAATGTAATTTTTCATAGCAAAGGACAAGAAGTCAAGGAGGACGATTGGACATGCTAGAGAATGGAATGACCTGTACTACATGGAAGATTTGAGTCTTCCCGTTGAGAGTCTCTAATATCTGAATCCTCCATGGTCAACAAAGAAAAAATCCAATTGTTTCATTGTCGTTTGGGACATCCTTCATTTCGGGTCATAAAGATAATATTTCCTTCCTTGTTTAAAAATTTAAATCTAGAAGATCTTCATTGTGAGGTGTGTGAGCTTGCCAAACACAAGCGTGTACCTTTTCCTATCAGCAATAAAGTAAGCAATTCTCCATTTATCTTGTTCATACGGATGTGTGGGGTCCCTCTAATATTCCTAGTACTTCAGGGGCTAAATGGTTTATAACCTTTATAGATGATTGTACAAGGGAAACATGGCTTTTCCTGCTTAAACACAAATCTGAGGTCAAATATGTTTTTCTATAGTTTGTTTCAATGATTAAAAATCAATTTGGGGTTAATATAAAAATAATTAGTTCTAATATTGCCAAAGATTACTTCAATCATACTCTAAATTCTTTTGTCAAAAGGAAGGAATAATCCATGAATCCTCATGTGTAAACATACCCCAACAAAATGGGATTGCAGAAAGGAAAAATGGGCACTTATTAGATCAAACTAGAGCACTTATTTTTCAAAATAATGTTCCAAAAAGATTTTGGGGGGAAGCTATTCTCACTGCTACTTGATTAATAGATTGCCTTTTTCCATTTTATCCTCAAAAAGCCCCGTGGAAGTCTTAAACTCATTCTACCCACATATAATCCATACAAATAACCTTCAACCTAGAATATTTGGGTGTGTCTCCTTTGTACATGTTCATAGTAATGGAAGAGGAAAACTTGACCCAAGGGCAATAAAATGTATTTTCTTGGGGTACTCAGCCACACAAAAAGGGTATAAGTGTTTTCATCCCCCATCCAAAAATTTCTGTGTCAAGAGATGTTACTTTCAATGAACAAGTAAGCTACTTTGACCAATCTCATCTTCAGGGGAATCTTTAAGAGAGGAAGATGAACCTTTTATATTACCAAATCTGTCTTTTGGACCAGAAACAAAAATTCAAAAGAATATTACCACTGTATGTGAAGCTGAAGCTGAAGAGGAAGAAGTAGAGGTGAATCAAATACCTCAATCTGCAGGACCAACAACTAAACCACATGATAATACAAAGTTTGGGAAAAATTTGGTGTACACACGAAGAGGAAAGGCCATTCCAAGATCTACTCATGTTCAAGAATCCAATCCTGCAACATTACCTAAGGTAATTCCTTTTGATCCTATAAATTCTAACTCTATTGGTTGTGATGAATTTCCTTCTGAAAAACTAGTTGAACAAATAGAGCATAATTTAGACCTCCCAATTGCTCTCAGAAAAGGAACCAGAACATGCACCAAACAACAACCTTACCCCTTGACAAATTATTTATCCTTTGAAAAATTCTCACCTACCCATAAAACCTTTCTCACAAGCCTAAACACCACAACTACACCTTCTGTATTTGAGGCATTAATTGACAAAAAATGGAAACAAGCTATGGACTTGGAGATGGAGGCATTGGAGAAAAAATATACGTGGCAGCTAGTCTCCCTACCACCTAGAAAAAGGGCGGTTGGGTGCAAATGGGTTTATACAGTGAAGTACAAGGCTGATGGGTATTGAGAGGTATAAGACAAGGTTGGTGGCCAAGGGATTCACCCAAACATATGGAGTGGATTACTTAGAGACTTTTGCACTAGTTGCCAAAATGAACACGGTTAGAGTAATTTTGTCATTGGCAGCAAACTACAATTGGGAACTGCAACAATTTGATGTAAAAAATGCATTCCTACATGGAGATCTTGAAGAAGAAATATACATGGAGATACCACCCGGGTATACGGGACAGATTGAGGCCAACACAGTTTGCAAATTTGAAAAGGCACTATACGGGTTGGAATAATCACCTAGAGCATGGTTTGGGAGATTCACCAAAGTTATTACAAGTCTTAAATATAAACAGAGCCAAGGGGACCACACTTTATTCATCAAACATTTTGATTCAAGGGGAGTAACAATACTATTGGTCTATGTGGATGATATAATTATTACTGGGAATGATAAAAAGGAACAACAAAGGTTGAGCCAATGCCTTGCCAAGTAATTTGAAATCAAGACTTTAGTAAAGCTAAAATATTTTTTGGGGATTGAAGTAGCCCATTCCAAGAAAGGAATCTTCATATCCCAACAAAAATATATCATTGATTTGCTACAGGAAACAGGTAAAACAACTTGCAAACCATCAAGTACACCTGTAGATCCAAATATAAAGTTGGGAAGTGTAGAGGAGGATGTGTCTGTGGATAAAGAAATGTACCAAAGACTTGTGGGAAGACTCATTTACCTATCTCACACTAGGCCAGATATTGCATTTGCTGTGAGCTTAGTTAGCCAATTTATGCACCAACCAAAGGAAGCACATTTACAAGCTGCACTTAGAATTGTCCAGTATTTAAGAGGGACTCCAGGAAGAGGATTTTTGTTCAAAAGAAATAAGAGTGCCAGTCTTGAGGCATATACAGATGCTGATTATGCAGGTTCAGTTGTGGATACAAGGTCAACTATTGGATATTGTACCTTTCTTGGTGGAAACCTAGTAACTTGGAAGAGCAAAAAGCAAAGTGTGGTATCTAGATCTAGTGCTGAAGTACAGTTTCGAGCAGTGGCCCAAGGAATATGTGAACTTTTATGGCTGAAGATTATATTGGAAGACTTAAGGATAAAGTGGGATTAACCAATGAGGTTATATTGTGATAATAAGTCTGCAATTAGTATAGCATATAACCCAATACAACATGATAGAACCAAACATATTGAAGTGAACAAACATTTTATCAAAGAAAAGCTTGACAGTGGCTTGATTTGCACCCCATATGTGTCCACTCAAGGTCAACTTGCAGGCATATTCACCAAAGGACTGAGTAGCAGTAATTTTGAAAGAATTATATCCAAGCTGGGAATGGAAAACACTTATTCACCAGCTTGAGGAGGAGTGTCAAAATATGTTTTAGGAAACTTTAGATATTATTCCCACGTAGTTAATTTGTTATATTCCCTGTATCTTGCTATTATTACTAGAATAACAATCCCACAATTTTAGGGATTTGTTCAGTAGAATAGGCTGCTCATTAAATAAGCTCTTGTATATATATTCAATGCATGTAAGGAGACAAATAATAAAATATATAGTCTCTCTCCTAAATTTGAGAATTTACTAACTGTTTGTGTTGACGAAGTTGTTTATTTCAAAATTAACTGTAAATATTCTGTTTTTACAGCTGTGTTGACACGTCTGGACATTGGGGCCACGGTGGAATGTTTGATGCACTGTCCAAACTTTCTACAAGCATTGGTGATGCATACGAACGGGCTTCTGAGCATGGGGATCTGCATCTTGGTGATCTGCATCTTATAAGGCTTGATGGTGAGCTCTATAGTGATTCAAAATAATTATGTTAAGTCTATATGGATTGCATAGATTGCTTCACGCCAGTGAATATATGTCAATGCTACCCTGACCTACAAGTGGGCAACCTTAACTCCTTGCATTTTCCTATCAGAACAGAAATTTTCTCAATTGTTATATAACAGTCTGTTTCAATGTCATCTCCATACCTATTTGTCTGGATGTCATTACCTTTTTTCACATTGTGCAAGAATACATTTTGTCTTATTCTATGTTACCATAATTTGTTTGAAAGTTTCAGTGAAGTAGTTCAGCCGTTTTTAGAGAAATAATGCTGACCGCCTAACTTTTACCTCTTGTTGTGTTAGGTTTCTTGGTGGGAAGAAACCTAAATTTTATCTCAAAATAAACAATCAGAGACAAGAAACCTCACTGTGAGGCAGCTGTTTATTGAATGAAAAATGCAGAAAACATTCAACAACATACAAGGGAAAACATTCCTTCCTACACAGGACAGTCCCTGTTCAGAAATAAATCACTTAACAACCACCAAAATACACACCCACCTTCTTAAAAGACAAACAAAACATAACTAACAAAGTAAAATGTCAACAGCCGAAGAAAAACTACCCCTTACTGCTATGAAACTCCTCCTAACTCTCTCAACCACCACTTACTAACTGTCCTATTTATTTTTTTTGACGTAAACCTTCCAAGACCTATCATGTTGTCTGGAATATTTTTGTTCCTCTGCAAGGTGGGGTGGCACGGGGCTCATTTCCGTTACTACAATCTATGTGATGAATAATGTGATTGTGTTCTTTATGTTAAAAAAATGCAACGTTAGCCAGTCAAGTTTAGGGTCTTTGGAGTATGGGCACATTTGACTGATTATTGAGGGGATATTGCTTCTTTTTTTAAGTTTTGACCGATGCATTATGAACAGTTTTGTACAAAAATAGGCTAGTCTTGATTAACTTATTTTGTGTTCAAAATAGCAGATAGTAAATAATTTCTGAAGAGCTTTTCTCGCATGTGTTTAATCTGTGACGTGGTGAATATGTGTGTATGGTTGTGTCTGCTATATTGGTGTCTTGTTACTTGTAGATGGTTGTCAAGAACAAGATATGACTGGAAATACTCCCAAGATGGTTGCGTTAGCTGTGGTTCAATCATATAATCCAAGGCGCAAAATTCCACGCAGTGAAATCTCACTTCCCCATTTGGAAAGCTGCTTATCTAAGGCAGCATTCTCAGCTGCTCAGAATTCTGGTAACATGCTTCCGCATTTATTTAATTAATATTTAATCTTCCATTTACTTTTATAATTTATTATATTGTCATTTTCTTTGCTTATTGCGTACATGCATGTGATTATTAACGATTTTGTTCGACGCATAAAGTTAATTTTGATGATTCATTTACATTTAATTACTGAATTGTTTTGCCACTGCTGCAGTACCTTGATCTTGCATATTTACCATGAATCATATCAATCATATAAGAGAATACAAAACCTGAAAAGGAAATTATATGTAATAATGTATCGAAGTGTGGCATAATCTCATTATTGTGAAGTCATCTTTATCTCATTAGTGTTAGGAAAATTGTTCCCAATTGCTATAGGGTACGTTGTATCTGATAGTTCTTTTTCAGTTGAGATAGTGTACATATACTAACCCTGTTTTTTGTGTGGCTTGGAAATCATTCTTCGGACATTCAGCTATAAGTTCTTTTTGACAATTACTTCCATATAATATCTGTTAGTGTATGATTATAATTTTAGTTGACAATTGAAACACGCTGATACAAAATTCTTTTGATTATTCTGTAAAGCATCAATGCACATGCCACGAATTGGTTATCAAGATGTATCTGATCGTTCTGAGTGGTACACCATAGAACGACTCCTCAGAAAATATGCTTCCATTTACAACATCAATATATATGTGTAATGCTCTCTCACTCTTCATCCATGCTCATTCATCATACTTAGATTTATGTGAACATATATTTATTTGGATACTCTATCATATAACATCTTGAATTTCTTACAGATATTATTATCGAAGATCAAGTTAAGGCTCTTTCTCACTTCCTAAACTCAATGTAGTTTCTCACGAGAAGACCGTTGAAGACGTGTTGTTGTAGTAAGGTGTTGTATGCTCACATGTGTATGATAAAGACAATTTAGGCAGTTGAAATGAGTTTAAATTCTTCCAAATCAAATATGCAAGCAATTTAGACTATTACTTCTTCTAGACTCAAATGTAAGAAAAACATATATGTACTGTGGATTTAAATGTATATATATTTCAATTTCCTAAATCCTAGTTAATGTTGCTAATTATTCTTATTTTACAACGTAATCACCATTCTTAATAAATATAATTGACGGTAATATAGGAAATATGCCTCAATTATATGAAAACAAAATTAACAAATAAATTAAATTACTAATTTTTAGTCCATGTAAAAGTAGTTAATTTGGCTTATAATTGATTATAGAGCAGTATATCAAATGACCACTCTTGGTTTACTATTTGTGACAAACACAAGTATAGAGTATTTCACTCTTAGGAACAAACACAAGCTAAAAATAGGTACAAATTTGCCACAATTTTGCTTTCATGTGTATGTGTCGGCCCAGCAGCCAAATACAGCTTCCTCAAAATTTACTTTCATGTGTATGTTTGCTCTCAAAATTTTCTTCTTTGTCTCTTAAAGTCACACAACAGTGTTAGAATTATATCATAAAATGTACGAATTAGACAAGCTTTAAGTGATTTTGAAGACCACAAAAACTTTTAAGTGATGAAAGTAAATTTTATTATTTGTCTAACATGTTTTATTCATGGAGATAAAAGTACCTTATAAGCTTTAGTTATCAAGTCATATAAAAGAAGTAGACGACTACAAGAGTTTGCTACATATAGTCTGATATTGTTGTTCAAATGTTAAATACATTTTGTTAAAACTAAATTCAATACCTAATGATAATAAGACAAAATCAGATTCAACAACTAGTTTGTCATTTTATTGATTCTTTCAATATCTCTTTAAAATAATTTATTGTCAATGTCATATTTCCATGATCTGTTTGAAAAATGTTTCTTTAGCAAATATATTTGTAAACGTTGGAGAAGAAGAATATTGAATCTTTCTTTATCAATGTTCTCTAATGTGAAGATCGAAGATCATGTTTAAAAGCTTTATGAGAAGATCAAATTATTAAAGACCAATGTGTATAATCAATGGTCATTTTCTCTAGAAGTTGAAGCTTGAAGACATAAACAACTCAACAATAACAATTTATTATAGTGTTTCATATTTTTGTATATTCTTGGCATCTTTCGGGGTTGAAGTAATCCTTGTAATACTTCATTTGGTGAAGTTTTCCCCGCTTCAACTAAAATTGTGCTTATAAGAGAGTGTTCTTTTGTCAAATTTTTTTGGAGTTCTTATTTTCTTGAGATTAAGAATAATTTACCAAGAGAGGTTGTACTTGTGTAAGGTGTAATATGGAGAAGTTTTTGTACTTGTAACGTAGAACCGTTGGTGTAATACTTAGAACCGTTTGTGTACTTGTTGTAATAAAATTGTTTGACTAATAGAACTTATGTTGAAGACATAGCCCTACACGAAAAGTGTGTATTAACTTTATTCAACTCTCTTTCTAGAGCTCAATTGTTTTATCAAGTGATATCAAAGCCAAGTTTTGGGAGAGTTCCTAACATAATGAGAGAATCAATTTTTGTAGACCAGATGGAGAACTAGACGTAATTCATGAGTTTGGATGAAATAATATAATTTTTTGTATGCTTATTCTTGTTACTATACATCTAATTATGCACAAAAAGTGTTTATAGGCTTTATCCAACCCTCTTCTAAAGTACATTTGTTTTATCAAAGAGTAACTTCAACAATTCTCCATTCAACATCTAAAATGATACCTTAAAAGAAAGGTAAGTTTTAAAAAACATTTAAGCATTAACCAATTTATTTTTCGTTTAAGAGTAAGAATAAAAAAAATCAAGAAGGACTAATTTGAAACTAGATAACTTTCAAATAAAATAATATATATGAAAAAACTCAAAGAATTCAAAGGACAGATAACAAAAATTAAAGCAGATTTAGAAGAAGACACTCAAAAGGAACTAGTGAATAAGTTTAGATTATGATTACTAAAAAAAAAGTTTAGGTACAAATTGATTCAAGAAAAATGAGATTACACCACTAGCTTCAATATGGAATTAAAAGGAATTAAAAGAATTTTATGCTCGGATATGCTTATTCTATAATTCAAGTCATAACTTTAACTAAAATAACAAGCAAAAGCATAAAAGTGTTACTATGGTGTGAATTACTTTAGTTTCTTCTCTTTTATGAATACATTTTTCGACCAATACTGTTTTATTTTGTTTTTCAAATTTCACTTCTTTTTTCAAATGAAAAATTCATGACCTATGTGATTTTGAAGTCTATTTCAAGAGCAACTCAACAATTAGATGCAAATTTCAACTCCAATATTCACAAGCAATAGGTATATCATGTTCTAAGAAAACATTGAACGGAAAACTCAATGGAAATGGTCTAAGTAAGATTCGACCTATAATATAACAAATTAGGAACTCAACCTATAAGAAACAAGAGAAATAGATTTCTGTTTTCATGATTTTGGCTTAGAAAAAATGTGAAAATTTGTTAGGATTACTTCTAATAGAATAATGAAGATATAAATGGACTAAACAACACTCTAAATAAACTTAGAAGATTCCGAAAAATAAAGCTAAGTAGAACAAGTAAAGAACCAAAGCATACAAAGACAAAAGATCTAAACCTAAAAACGTTTTATAATTTTCCAATACGTGTAATTTATTCAAGAAAATTAGATTAAAAAATGAATAAATTAAGAACCAATGACTTCTGGATTTTGAAATATATTTTTGGATAGGAAGATAACTTCCATAACATACAATTTGGAATGTATTATTTTTATATTTCAGATTAGATATTTTGAAGGTATTTCCAAATTTGGAAATATTTTTGAGACACCTAAGATATATTTTTAGATTTGAAAATATTTTTTGAAATACTAAATTTGGAATATATTTATACATTTCAAATTATATAATTCAAAAGGTACTTTTGGATCTAGAAATACTTTTTATAACATCTTCTAAAATCTATAAAATTGTGCAATTCATTTCAAATTTTGCAGTGTTTTCTTCTTTTTGAGTAGACACCCTCTCTATTTCTTTTTCTGCATTTTGTTTTTCTCTCCTTTTTTTTCAGAATTTTGCTCACACTCAATCTCTTTTTCTTCTCTTAGTTTTTCACACTCAATTTCATACTCTTTCTCTCTTTCTCTCAATTTTTTTCTCCCAGTTTCCTTACTCTTTTCTTTAGTTATTAAGTCATCACCAACTTCTTTACCTATAACAATTCCTCTCCTTGTTGTGATAGCTTTGCCTTGCTTTTTTGGATTGATTGTGGTGTTGTTCATGAACTTTGCTTCCTGTTGTTATACTAGCTGTTGTGCTAGCTATCAAGTATGCATCTCTAGATTCTTAAGTGAAGCTTCATTAAAGTTGTTGTAGTTTAGTTATATAGATTGCTTGTTGGTTGAACCACCATCTTGTCTCCAACTTTGATGTTGATTCTGGTTTTGGTTTGATCTTCAATTGTTGTAATAATTGTTTGGCCTTTTACTATCACTCATGAAGTGTAATTCTTCTTCTCTTGCAAATTCAGCAGTTGAGCAGTGAAGTGCCTGAAAAACACTAGAAAGGGGGGGGGGGGTGAATAGTGTTAATGGAAAATTTTTTCGCAACTCTTCTGATATAACACGTTATCAAACTCTTGAAATCTTCTTTTAAATAATCGTAGGCTCGAATTAATAGGATTTTGCAATAACTGCTTTTAGTGTACTATTCAAAGTATATATACTACAACGTTTTGTTAAGAACTTCCTTTATGAAATAATTCATTTAGCTTGGAAGATTCTTGTGTTTAGAAATAAAGCATGACTACAGGTTTTCAGAAGAGGATCATTTAAGTAAGAGAAGAGATAATTGCATAAGACATATTATACTGGTTCGTTCCAACTGAGCTACGTCCAGTCTCCTCCGTAGAGGGTTTCACTATAATCTTCACTCGATTACAAATTAGTATTAGCACAACTCTTGGTACTCAACAACCTTAGCCAGTATTTTCTTTGAGTATTCGCCACTCTTGGTACTTAGCAATCTTACTAAGATTTCTCAACTCAAACACATTTCAGTTGTAAGTACTTTAATTCTCTTTAGAATTGCAATCAACGATTGCTTACAAGTAGCTCAGACTATATCTCTCATAGAGAGGATTTGATTACAATACAAAGTAGTTTAAATACTCGCAGGTGTTTCTCTCTATTCTCTTACAATCGTAAGTAATATGACAATAAAGCTTGAGAGTATCTCTTTCTCTTTTTCTATTCTCTTCTCTTTTCTTCAGCTCAAATTTATTCTTTTTCTTGAGCTCTTTCTCTTCTTCTTTTCAGGATGAATATATCATTGTCAGCTTTTTTCTTTCTTATGCTCTTAAGTTATCCTCTTGATTTTCTTCTTGAGAGATATTCTATTTATAAGCTTAATGGATTTATGTCCATTAGACTGAGTTTGTAGTTTATAGTCTTGATACGTGTGCTTTCTCTTTCTTCTTTTCACAACAGTCATTGTGCAAGTCAACTTTCTCAAAGTAGACCTGCTTTTTCAGTCATTAACTTGAAGTAGGTTGTACGATCTTTTTAGACATTGCTTCAAGTAAGGAGCATTATGTGAATATCTTTTTTATCTATAACGTTCACTTTTTGATATTTGATCTGTAGCATTGTGAATGCGTGTAGTATAACTTATCTGCAAAATTAGAGTAAACTTTGCATGCAACATATATGTATTTTCTTATTACTATGGTTGTTTTTGAATGTTGAGCATTTAATGTCATTTAATGCTTGCTCAGAACAACAAAGTGTATTTTGATTTTCTACCGTTAGGTAGAATTTTTCGATTAAGCGCTTTTCTCTAAGGATACAAGCATAGATATGTACTTCATCATAAGATGAGGTATTTGTTAAGCTTATGGCATCTTTTAGTCAAGTAAACACTTCTTTAGCTTTCGTCTCTTTTTAGACAGATAGTGTTTAGCTTGCTTAAGCTTTCTTACATATTTTAATCATTAAGTCTTTTGATATTTTTTTTCAGAGACTTTGTCTCGACTTATTTTGTTTTCGAGAGAGGATGAATACCTATTCAAGGTATTATAAGCATTAAGCGTTTAACTCAATCTCTCTTGGACGCT